AAAAAAAAATTTTTTATTTATATGCATTAGTTGTGGCGTAATTCAAATTTTAATATGTTAGGATTTGCAATGATCGACGGGTGGTCGGATATTTTTTGGAGGGAGTGTACATTGTATCAAGAATGATTTCATCGTAATTTTTGGTCATAATTCGAATAGATTACAGAATCGCCTTGCCTTCAAAGTTTCATTTATAAAGTGGTTTTGTATAGGTCAACCAAACTTACGTAGCAAGTCCGTACATGAAGCGAAGCTAAGGGATAAAAATTGAATTTAATTTAGTTCCACATTATCACATTACATTACATGTTTGATATTTGCTCAATTATCCACTATCAATTTTTCGAGCACATCCCGTGGGAAAAAAAACTTAGTCACGCCGGTGATGGAATATGAAATATCACGATTCAAAGTTGGCGTACAATAGCAGTAGTATATTTCTTTCTCAAAACTTCCAGCATTATTAGGGTTATGACAGATCTAGCCAATCCGTTAGGTTGAAATTCGAGATGATGAGTTGTTATTTCTAGCCAAAAGATAAGTAGATAGGATTTATCATGATTAATAATTTCAGCAATTTGGACTAATTATTTTATTTTTATATAGGCAATGTATGGAATATCAATTAACGCTTACGTGATGATTCTTATGAACGTTACTTTCGATTTTTGGATATAGGATAATTAATGAGGTAAGTGTTTTATTATTCGTTGACTGGTTTCATACATAAATACTATTCAAACTTGTCTTTCTGAAAATTCCACTTCGATCATCACACATATGGCAAGACGAATATGAAGCGGAAATGAAAATTCCCTGTGGCACAACTGTTAAATTATCCACATCACGGTCCATGACAAAATTATTTCCTTATACTTTCCCGCAAATATCGGTTCACATGTGATCCAGATCTTCGTGATACGATCATACTTGCCGATTTCAAGATCACGCGTATATCAGGTTCTCGAATAATATCTCATTGCTAATCGAATTTTCCGCTAGTTGTTCCAAGCACGCTTTTCAGACATATTGCTATTCTTGACATTCACCAGAAATCTCTGTCCTATAGACGCAGTAATACTTCTGTGGATTTCCATCACCTGATTTTCGAAATTATGCGTCGTGAAAAAATATCTTAAATAATCATTACCATTTGCTGAATTAAAGTTCACTCAACGACCTTGAGATCAAAATCCTTGCTGTCTCTATTTACGAAAAAAATAAAAAGCCTCACTGCAGCAGATGAAACTAATCCTCCGAAAAAGAACTTAAAAAGAATAAAAATAATTAATAATCAAATGTAAAAAGGAAAGTGGAAAAAACAAAGTTGTCAGAGGCAATAAAGAATCCAACCCATAATTAATAAAAATAATTGCAAAAGTGTTCCGACCCAAAGAAAAGAAGGCGCAATTTCTAAAATAAAAAGTTGCATAGAAATATATATTTTATTGCTGCGTGCCGAAGTAACCGTGCGAGCACTAAACCAAAAATAAATAATAATAAAAAATAAATCTGAATCACCGGATACCTACACAAATGATACGATCTGAAGAGAAAGAAAAGGACACAAGAATTTCTTGAAACATCGTCGGCCAGAAGTAGATTTGCTCATTATGATTGATGTCCAACAAAAATTAAATTTCGTTATTTTTCAAAAAAAAAAAAATAAAATAAAATGAATCGTTTTAATCTCTTGTAGATTTTATTTCAATGGAGTGGAATAATTTGAATATAGGCATAAGTGAGTTCGAATCGGAAGTCTTATTATAAATTAAAAAAAAATTTATAATTAATTCAAAGACTTCCGGAATAATATTTGGTAACCCCTTGCATTTATTGTTGCCCATTAAAGTATTTTGATCTTTGCCACTAAATTCAATGAGTACGCGAAAAATTCTTGCCTTCTCCAACGTGAATAATTAAATTGTAATTTTCTCCAGAAAGGAGCTTTCTCATAAATCAGGTAAAAAGCTACCTCCATGGCATGGTCTTACAAATAATGTCTGACGATCGCAAACGTGTCGAGAAATAATTTGCGCAAATTCCAAGTCGAATTTTTGGATTATTAATATATTTTATGGAATATTTATTTGAATTATGATTTTTTACAGGAATTTACATAACATGTTTAAATCTTATAAAAGACGAAAAAACTAACATTCTTATTCATTGTAATGAGCATAGTTGCCCGGTTAACGAAAATTTTAATCCGGTTAAAGAATTTTTGGCCGGTCCAACCTCTACTAGCGAGAAGTCGAAAAAGTGGGCAAAGTCGGTATATATTTATTTTTTTTTTTCTTTCCTAAAGCTGCGTACGGACAGGAGTGCTAGTCTTAGCAGAATAATACTATGACAATTGTTTTGGATGTCAGATTTCTTTGATCATCTGGTCTGACCACCTTTTTTTATTTTATTTTTAAGTACGTTGCGTTTAATTCGTCCATTAGAAATTTAACCTTAAATTCAAAATTCAGCGCATCTACGCTATTTTGTTTTGTTGCAATTATTATCTGCATATGCGTGACAAGTTACGCCGATTATTTCTATATTATGAAGGAGTGATGTTTATCTGTCACCTAGTCACGAGATATCAAGTTTCGATTTTTATTATGCTTTCAGGGGACTTAGTTTTTTTTGGTTAGGTGTTGGCATATTTGTCACACCCATGTTTGTCATCCGATCGGTGTAACCTGTCACACATTTCGGACGAGCGCATATGAGGTTTGATTCTATGTTAATGTTGTGACTGAAATTGATTTTCAGGAAAAAAGGTATCAGGAATTCCAAAATCAATAATGTTTTTTACTTTGCACTTTCTTATTTTCATTTTTTTCATTTAACAATATAATCAATTAATTCTGATGTAAAATTCCGTTTATAAATTTATGAAATAAAATTATTACAAGAGAGATCGACTGCAAAGTTATTTTCAAAGATCGACAAGAATTAATTTTGACCCGATACAGAATTTAAAAAAAATGAATTAAAATGAATTAGAATACCGAAATGATCTAAGGGCATTTTGGTCTTTGTGATTTTTTCGAATATAAAATTCAGTATATAAGGTCTACCTGATTTTTCGACAAAAGAGGAAAAAAATTTATCATTTCAATCATGAAGAAAACCATTTTATACATCTTATTACAATTTTCATTGGCAGTTTTTGCTGATTGGATCACCGTAGAACATGATTTTAAAATGTGCGACCAGGACGTACCTTCTAAACGTGCGGCGGTTCATATTGGCGACGATGGCGTTACTTATTCGTCGTCCCTTTTGGTCAAGGATATTCAAACTATAAATCATGAGTCACCCTCAACAACTGTAAACGTCACTATGTGGGGGTGTACCTATGATTGTCAATTCAGCTTTATGTTGAAAGTAAACAGGGATGATCATTCCGTTTCGTCATTTACCAATCAAAAAGAAGATAACTACATTTGTAATTTAAGTAAATACACTTTTAAACTTATTCCGACACCTAAAATAACATATCAGGATAAACTACCTAACCCAGGTCATATATTTCCAACCTATCTAACTGCAAAGTATTGCAGTGAAGGTAAACACCCCGATGCACCCGGATTTCCAATTGACAAAACAGATAATGTAGCCGAATGCATCGATCATTTGACTGGTAATCAAGTCGGAACATACGCTGCATCTCTTCAGTTCGGTTCAGGCAGCTCGTTCAAATCTGATGGTTATAATGTTGCTACATATCACATGATTAATTCGGCAAACAAGCTATTCAATCATTGGGAGAGTCATCATCGAGGGTTCCATGATGCCCTTAATGAACTAAGTACTAAAGCCGCTGATCTAACAGAATTGAAACCACCTACGCTTAAAAGTAACTTGCTCAAAAATATTGTTCCTATGGTCGCTGGCATTGCTCCTTTATCTGTTCCTATTACAGTGGGACCTATAGTTGACGAAGTAAATGAAGTAAATGAGAGCGCGGAACCATCCTTTACCAAAATCTCCGAACTTGCTGCCGAAATTGGTGCAGCAGATGATTTTATAGCATCAGCTAAAGGAACTGCCAAAAATGCAGCGGTAGAATGGAGAGATGCAGCGATGAAAAGTAAGGTCGCTCAAATTGCAAATAGCCTTGATAAAGGATGCGATCAAACATCGAGCTGCTTAAAATTATATACTCAAAAGTCTACAATAGAGTATATCGCAGAATTCTATGGAAAATCAGAAAACCCGAATCTTGGTCAAATCATTGCTGCTTTGAATAAGCTCGACGACGAGATCACGAAGAGGGATACGGTGGATAATTTAGGATTCTTTACGACCAACATGATGAACTTATACTTTCTTCCAAATTTAATGGAAAGTGTTTATCAATCAATTACCGGCACAGGTACAAACTATACAGATATTCCATCATACCTATCAGCCGCAAGTAATAGTCTCCAATCTCATTTTGAAGATACATTACTTAATAATTTTTTTACTGGAAACAAGTCATTATTAGATAGTTTTACTGCTAATCAAGTGGTGAATCATGATCAAATACTTGCCAATTATGATGACGTATATAATACTATTAAAAACGGTACATATGACAATTTGGCGGTATCAATAATAAGCGCTAATGTTGAAATATGTGACCCAAAACCTTCAATTTGCGGTCAACCTTGTAATGAAGGTCTTGGCGTTATTTATTGTCCAACAATAGGAAATGATACTAATAGCTGTGTAACAACTGCCTCAGATAACCAAATAAAGGAATTTAACTTGCTTCGAGATACCTCTGATATATGTTCAAATGATAAAAGTACTGGTTGGAATATAACTCATAATCCCCATTGTGATATTAAACAATTACAATGTAAACCCGAACATGAATGAAATTTAGTGTCGATTAATTGTGCGTATTATTAGAAGAATGTTGTTATAAGTTTTAATTTATTTTCTAACATAATAAATAGATAATATTCAATTAAAAGAAATTTATTTTTTTAATATTTATAGTTCTCCATTTATCTTACTTATTATAATAAAGAAAAGTTTTCGAATTAATATATCAATAAATAAAGGAATTTATTTCGCAAATCAATTTCAGAAATAGACTTGAAACTTAATTTTTCATAGTTTCCTCGAGATGTTGTTTCATCTACTAATGAGATAGAAAATTACACTGATTAAATACGGACACTTCTTACATTTTACAGAGAAAACTTATCATCATCGGGGCATATATTCAGCCAAGTCTTTACCATCTCGAAATTCGTTGGAAGAAGATTCTATTTAACGTAA